CGTGTCGCGGCCGCGCTGCAGGTAGGGCGAGGCCGAGCCGCTCGGCATGCTGCCGCGCCGCGGACGGGGCGGCTGGTGGTGGTGGTGATGCTGCGGCTGGAAGTAGTGCGACGGCATCGCCGTCGGATCCGGCGAGAAAAAGGGGCTCATCGACCCGGGCGTCGGCGCCTGCGACGCGTGTGCCGAGTAGGGGCCGGCCGGCGGCGGCAGGTCGAGGAAGGCCGGCCGCGGAAGCTGCGAAAACGAGCTGCTGCGGCGCGAAACGTTGGTCGGCCTCGGAGGGGTCCCGTGACCGGCACCGGCGGCCATGTCGAGGCCCAGCGAGTTGTGGCGCGAGTGCGCAAACGGCTCCGAGTCCCTCCGCTCGCCCAGGTCGCGCTCGGACGACGAGTTGCGCCGGGAGCGCCGCGGCGGGCCCTCGGAGTCGCTGCCCGGCAGGGGGGTCGACGCCTTTTCGGGCGTCGAGAGCATCTTGTTGGTGTCGTTCGAGAAGCGGCGCGACACGAGCCCCTTGAGCCCGCGCCCACCCTTCTTTTTCATCGTGGCCTTCCTCGTCTGGGCTCGCCGCAGCTTGCCCTCGCTGCGAATGCGCTTGCTCATCTCCATCTCGGCCGCCGTGGGTGCGCTCTCGTCCTCACCGTCAAAGTGGGTGAGGTCGTAGGCGGTGACGTCGAACTCATCCTGCTCGTTGCCCTCGGTGAAGCGCGCAGCCGGCGGCGGCGGCCCGTTGAGCGGCCCGTCGTTGGACGACATGTAGCTGTGCCGCCCGGTGTCGTGGCCAAAGGGGGCGCTGGGCGGTGCAAAGTCGGCACCGGGATAGTATTGCGGCTGCGCGGCGATGGCGCTCTGGTCGTGGTAGTGGGTGACGTAGAGCTCGACACGCAGCTGCTCGGGCGCGAGCATCTCGATGCAGCGGCGCAGCGGGGCGGCGACCCACTGCAGGTGCGCGAACTCGCGCAGGATCCACACAAAGCGGATGCGCTGGACGAGGAAGTTCTTGCCTCCCTTGCCCCTTTTGCCCAGCCGTTCGGCGCCGACGATGCAGGCGCACAGGTGCTCGAGCGCCGACATGCCGAAGCTGACGCCGGAGCCGCCGCAGACGATGACGACGCTCGAGTGGATGCCCCACTCGGTGCGCTTGGCGGATCCATAGGGCCCGTCGATGATGGCGCGCATGTGGACGCCCGTGGTTCCCTTGCCGATGGCCATCGCGGGCAGCAGCGAGCTCTCGAAGCCGCCAAAGGCCGCGCCCGGCTGCGCGTCGGCGGCGGCCTCGATCTGCTGCTGCCGGCGCTTGACGACGTGGTTCCAGAGATGCGACGTAAAGCCCCTCCGCACGCGCACGAGCAGCACGATGGTGCGCTCCTCTCCCTTGACCTTCTGCGAAGGCCGCGAGAGGCCCTTTTCCTCGTCGACGTCGGTGAACTCGGTCGAGACGGGGAACTCGGCGTCGTGCGCCGACGCGATGGTAAAGGGATGCGACTCGAACCAGCGCACGCCCGGCAGGTTGAGATAGACCCACTGCCCGGGCCTCCAGGACATCTGGTTGGGCGTGCGCAGCGTCAGGCGCAGCGTCTTTCCCGGCAGCAGCTGGACGAATGCGTAGCCGGGACGAATCACGGCGGCCACGTCCGCCGACATGGCGGGGCGGGGCTTGGAGGAGCGCGACCCGCCCGCCAAGCTCGACTGCTGCGAGGGGTACGACGAATGCGCGAAGGTGCTGCTGTCAAAGCAGGACGTCGACGGCACCCTCCTGGCGGCCGGACGCGGCTGCTGTCCGCGTTGCTGGGAATCGGCGGCGGGCAAGCTGGCAGCGCCCGTATCCTCGAGCTGGTACCTGACGTGCTCGCTGTCCGACCCTCGCCGGGACGCATAGTCCGAGATCAGATCGTGCACGGGGTCGTACCGCGCGCTCCACTTTGTCGCCCTGCGCTCGACGCCCGCGGCGTAGGCGGTGTCCGGGTGGCCCCGCGACGGGTCCTGGCCATCGAGCGCGATGCCGCCCTCGTCTGGCGGGGTCCCGGACGGGCTGACGTACGCATCCGCCGCGGACAGCGGCACCCTGTCGGAGCCGAAGAGCGAGTGCGAATGCGAGTGTGAGTGCGAGTGCGAGTGCGATTGCGACGACTCTGGCACGCTGAAGTTGCGAGGCTTGTGCGACGACGACGAGCTCGGCATCGTGCCGTGGCCGCGAGACGACTCGGCATAGGCGAGGCTGGCGAGGTCCTTTTCCGCGTGGCCAGTCACGGTGTCCGAGGGGGTGAGGGCAAACTGAGGCTTGCGGCCAGCGAAGCCGAGACCGTTGACCCATGCGATCTTGAGCAGGCGCGACAGCCGGTCGGCAGCCCACCAGGCGAGCGGGATGTAGATCCACTGACCGAGCGGCGGGTGGTGGAGCACGGCGGCGACCATGAAGCCGACGACGGTGACGACGTGGGCGATGTAGAAGAACTCGTAGAAGCGCACGCGGATGTGTCCGATCGACAGGGCCATCATGGCCGTGAGGAAGCCGTACGACTGCAGGCGAGCGCCAGAAGGGGACCGAAGACAGGTCAGCAGGCCGTCCGGGGACAAAGATGACGACCGCCGTGCCCACGTCCACTCACCACCCAGCCCCATCGGAATTTTTCCCACATAAAGACGAAGCTCCACACTGGGTCGCCGAGCCGCTGATCTTTGTTGAGCTGGACCGTCCAGGTGACGAGGTGGGCCGTGGCGAACAGCCAGATGATCCTGCCGCCCCACTTGTGCAGGAACGAGAGGCGGTCGAAGGCGTAGCCGCCAAAGATGCGCAGCGAGAATAGCGCAAAGGGGACCTGCTTGAGCGCCATGATGACGACGACGGGCACGAGGGCGCTGGTGATGTCGCCCGTCCGGTCGCCAATGGTCCACCACGTACGGTAGGGCAGCGTGATGGTCGGGGGCACCGTCGTGACGGCGGGGTAGTCGCCGGCGCCCCACTGGACCCGCTTCTGCAGCGTCTGGAGGACGGTGCGCCTCGACAGGCCGACGGTCGTCGTCGGGATCCGCTTGGGCCAGCTCTCCCGCAGGTCGAACAGGCTCGCGTTGGGGCCGATGAAGTCGGCGCCGATCAGCGTCAGGCAGATGGGCACCGCCAGGAAGAAAAAGAGGAGGACCAGACGGCCGAAGCTCGGAAACGAGAACATCTTGCGCTGCCGCGGCGGCCCGGGCCGCACGCCGCTGCGCAGCTCGGCGGCGCCTCTTGGAGGGTAGGCGTTGCCGCCGGGCGCCGCGCCGCTGTGCGTCTTGGAGAGCGGGTTGCCGTGGACGTCGACGCGCTTGCCGACCTTGTAGACGCGGTTCTTGGTGGCCCACTTTTTCCAGACGGCGCCAATGTAACTCCGCTCGCCGACGTTGAGCCAGTGGGCGAGGCCCAAGACGAGGCTGACAAAGACGACGACGAACCAGAGCAGGTAGACGTAGCGGTACGAGGGCTTGGGCAGCATGTGGGCATTGAAGTAGCCCGAGAGGTACTGGTACTTGATCTGGTCGTACGAGAAGCAGCCGCCCGAGCACGGCGCATTCTTCCTCTCGGAGGCTGTGAGGCCCGGCGAGTAGGCGCCCGACATGGCGAGGGGCAGATGAGGACGGTCAGGCCCGCGGCAGTCGGGAGGAGAGAGGGCTTGGCGGGCGAGGGGCGTGTGAAGGGCCGCTGTATGCCGAGGAGAGTGATCAGGCGGAAAGGGGTGGGAATAGGGGACCGGCGCGGTGGCGGGGACTATGCGGCGGCGGCGGGTGGGTTCAGCATCGAAGTGAGGGTGCTCGAGACGTGCTCTCTGGCTGGATGCAGAGGGACAAAGAAGGGACAGGAATCGAAGTGTCCGTGGCGGGAGAGCCCAGGGTCCGGTCGTGTGAGGTGTATGCGGCGGCCGCGGCCGGCGCCTTTGAGCAAGAAAAGAGATCCGGCTGGTGCAAGAGAAGGTCACGATCCAAACGAGAGGCGGGGAATGCGTAGAGAGCGGTGGCGTCGGCGAGCGAGGCAGGTGTCGGGAAGGCTAGACGGTAAGGAGAGGATGGGTTCGAGAGGGGGCAGATGCCAGACGAGTGCGCTCGAACGCCTTTATGCGGTCCAGTGGCGCGGGAGGCCGAGCGGAGACGTCGACAGCCGCAAGAGGCGAGGGCGACGAGTATGCTAGGCCGTCTGCAGACGTCGAGGCCGGAGAAGGTCGATGGAAGGAACGTCTAGGAAGAGTCACGAGACAGGAACGATGGACGGCGTGACCCGAGACAAGGCGAGGCGAGATGCGGTGTGATGCGAAGGGACGGGACGATTGTCGGGATGACGATCCTTGGCGTTGCTACAGGAATAGCAACCAAAGCACTGGGCGTCGCCGAGGAGCGAGGGCCGGTAGGAGGGCGACGAGGTGATGGAGCGATGAAGGGAGGCGCGGTTGACGGGGACGGCAGTGATCCGGTGGCTGTGCCGGCGGTGTCGTTGGCGGTGTCGTCGTCGTCGTCGGCGGCGGCGGCGGCGGCGGCGGCGGCCGATGATGCTTGCGGCAGAGATTCGATGAGAGAGACCACCACAAGGCGAGAGATGAAAAGACGCCGAGGCAGCGAGAGGAACGGCTGGAGGCAAGGATGGGCAGGATGATGGTGGCGGCAAGGTGACCGCGCTATCGGTCCATTCTTGCTCTCTGGCGCAGCGCAAGGAAGGTGGTGAGGCCGAACGGTCGGCGGGCGAGGTGGTGGAGCGAAGGTGCATGGGCGGCAAGCAGGCAGGCACCGATAGCCAGGCCGAGCTGGATGAGGCCGAGGCAGGCAGCCCAGGCGATGCCGACCACCTCGGCCACCGTACAGCGCCTGCCACCCGGGCCTCTGGTCTCCTGGCCTAGCCTGCCTGACCTACGCTTCCGCGCGGGGCTGCCTGCCACCATGCCGAAGCACGCCCTGCCTTGCCCAGCCCTGCCCAGCCCTGCCGCTGCAGGGCCCGCGGGGCCAAGAAAAAAAAAACTCAACTCAGCGAGCATCATCCGGGTAGGCCGACCAGCAGCAGCAGCTAGCGTGCCCGGCAATCAAGGCAGGCAGGGCAGGGCTGGAGGCCCCACCCATCGCTCCTCGACGACGAGATCGCGCCGCGAGACGACAACGAGAGGTGGAGGACGCAGCGTAGCCATGCTACAGCACGGGTGTATGGCAGCAGCGACGCCGCCGCCGGGACGCGCGCCCTCCGTTGACCGGCGGGAGGCAGGCAGGGCATATAGTCGTCGACGGCTGGCGAGGGCGTAGCGGACGCCCAGCCTGCCTGGCCTGCTGTTCCTTGGACAACGCTGCCTGCGCACGCTCGTTGGGTGGCAGGCGGGTCCAGGGCAGGCAGGCAGGTCGAGGGCAGGCAGGCCGGGCTGACCTTGCTTGCGCCACGTCTGCAGCGGTACGTAGGACGTCCAGCTGCGAGGCCGAGGTGGGCACCAGCCGCGTACGTCGGCCCCTTTCCGTCGATCCGTAGCTCATTTTGGCGGAGGGCACCTGGCAAATTCGCCGAGCGCGGAAACCCGGCAGGCCTCTCCACGCTGTTGCGTCCAGCCAGCCAGGCGTGGCCGCTCGAGATTAGTTCGACCTCAACCTTGCTTGCTTCGTTTTTCAGCTCGAGGAGCGGCGGAGGCGATGGAACGCGGCACGACGATGGCGATCTCGGCCGCTCGGCCGGACGGCTATGCACGGCGCTCGTCGCTCGAGAAAGAAGCCAAGAGGCAGGCAGGCCAGAAGAGCGGGCAGGAAGGCCGGTGAGAACGCCGCCGAAGCAAGCAGCTTGCTTGGCAAACAGGGCCCGACCCCCTTTCAGGCTGCCGAGTGCCGAGGCGACATCATATCGAACCCACCAAGCCGCGCTGGCCCAGCCTGGTTCTGCGAGCAAGAAGCAGCGGTCGGCCAGGCAGGCCGGGACGCGCGGATGGACCGCATGCTCCCCTCGCTCGCATGCATGCGTGCTACAGATGACGGTGCGCTCGACGACGGCCAGCCCAGCCAGCGCTGAGGCCGTTCGACGAGACACGTCAGCCCGCGCGCGCCCCGCTCTGACTTGGCCTGCCTCGCCTGGTGCCGCCGGCGCCCACAGATTCAGCCCCGCCCGTTGTCAACATCTCGAACCTGGCCCTGTCCCGCCTGGGCGTCCCCGTATTCGATTCGAGGTGGCCGAACGGCGCTGGACGAGCGGCGACGGGGTCTCCGAAGCTCGAGCGAGGTGCGGATGGTGTCAAGAGGTGGCGCATCGACGCGGAGCCTTTTGGCGCATGCATGCGCGAGCTGGCTTGGCAAACCAACCGGCGCGGGTGGTCAGAGAGGCAGGCTAGGCAGACAGGCAGGTACCGACCCACATGCATATGCGGTCGCTGCTTGCTGCTGCTCAGCTTGCTTGCTTGTTTGCCTGCATGGCTGGCCGCAGAACCGGAGCTCCGACGTCGGCCAAGCTACCCGAGGCCCGACCCTGCCTTCGACCAGATCGGATCGGATCGGGTCAACCGATTCGGGCGGGGCAGGATCTCTTCCGGAGAGTCGGCCCGCCGCCGTCGAGAATACAGACGAGTAGTAAGTTGCGTCCTATAGAGTTGATTGGCGGGGACTGGCATGCTACAGCGCTTGATCAAGAGAAATACAAATGAAACACGAAAGAGACTGCGATGGATCGCCGTCATCGTAGCGTGGCGCCACGAGGAGATGCGGATCGAGGGGCCAGGTGGCGGGGCGTTTTGGTATCGTTGGGTTTGGTCATGGCTTGTCGCGCCGGGTGGCCTCGACGCGAACTATCGTCGATTAATAGGCAGATGTCGTCAAAGTGGCGCGGGCGGTGGTGGCGAGCGGTGGTCTCGGGCCCACGCTGGGGATCAGGCAGCCTGGCCGCCCGACTCGCGCTCCTCTCTGCTGCGCTTGAGCTCCTCCTTGGCCTGCGGCAGGCCGCTGAGGGCCTCCTTTTTCCAGGAGCGCAGTGAGTCCTTTGGCAACTTGCCCTCCTTCTCGAGCTGCTTGCGCACCTTAAGGTCGAGGGCGGGCGCGAACCGGCTCCAGCCGCGGATCCGGCTGCCGTAGAAGTAGAAGATGAACGGCACCGGCGTGAGGGCGACGCCGACAAAGCCAACGATGCTGCTCGCCCATCCGACGCCGACGTTGGTGAAGAATTGACGCGTGACGAGCGGCATGCCCGCACCCACGGCCGATCGGACGATCGTGTTGGCGGCCAGGGCCGATGCGGCGTACATGAGATAGCAGTCGACTGCGGGCGTCGCGGGGGAGGCAAACAAGGGCGTCAGGAGGGCAGAGGGAGATCAGCATAGCCACGCGAGGCTCGGTCAGTCTGCATCTCGTATACGGCACTCACCGATGAACGACAGCAGCGAGATAAACACCAGCGTGAACGACATGCCGATAAAGACGAGCGACAGCGCCGGGACGTACCACGGCACGGCCGGGTAGTTGCCCGTCCAGCCGAGCCAGAAGCAGCCGACGACGAGAATGGGCCCGGCCACCATGGAGCCAATCAGCCTCTCCTCGGGCGGCGGCGACCCCTTCCAGAAGGGCACCAGCGGAATGTACTTGAGCTGCAAAAGCACGTTGATGACGGCGCCAATCGTGGTGCCAGCGCCGACCGCGATGAAAATCAGGCCCGACTCGCCCAGGTTGAAGCCTCGCAGGTCGGCAAAGATGACGGGGACGGCCTCGAAGAGCGCGTAAAGCAGGCCGTAGATGACGGAGAGGTAGATGGTGACGGCCTGTCGCGGTGGGCAGCGGCGCGGGCACGGCGGGGCGCGGAAGGTGGCAAGAGCAAGAAGTCAGCAAGTGATGAGCTCAGGCCATCGCTGCTCTGGTCTGGCCGCGTCAACTCACCACGAGCATGGGCTCCAGGGCCAGGATCTCGAAGGGGCGGTAGAGGGTGCGGTGGAGGACACCCTTGACCGACCAGTCGGTCCGCTCGTGCGGCGCGTACAGATCCTTGTTCTTGACCGGGTCGAGGCGCCGCAACCTTTTCGCCTTGCGCACCAGGAGCACCGGCGCAAACGTCTCAGGCAGGAAAAGCACCGTCATGATCCACACGGCGGCCGCGAAGATCATCATCAAGTGGAACACCCATCTCCATTGGAGGTAGGATTGGGTGACGAAGCCGCCGACGATGGGCCCGAGAACGGGCCCGATAAAGACCGAGGCCGAAAAGACGGACATGGCGAAGCCGCGTCCGACAGGGTCCCAGAGGTCGGCGATGAGGCCGCCGGCGTTTGTGAGTGGTGCGCTGGCAAAGACGCCGCTGAGGAAGCGGGTGATGAAGAGCGTCTCTGGGTTCTTTGCGAGCGACTGGCCGAGGATGAAGAGGGTGTAGACGAGCATCGAGAAGCTGAAGATGAGCTTGCGACCAAAGAGCTCCGACGTGGTCGACCAGAGGATGGGGCCGAGCACGTAGCCGGCCAGGAAGAGCGACGTGATGAGCGTCGCCGTCACGGTGCCGATCTGGAACTCCTGCGCGAGCTGCTGCGACGTCGACGAGGGCGCCGACGAGGCGAACGTGACGTTGATGGTGAGGATGGCGCCCAGCACCGTGTAGGTCCACTTGAGCTTCTGGGACCAGTTTTGCGGGTTCTCGGGGTCGTCGGGGCCGTTCCAGCCGACCTCGTTGGGGTCGGGCGTCGTCTTTTCGCTGTCGTCATTGTCGCCGTCGCCGCCGTGGTCGCCTGCGCTCGAGTGGCTGCCGCTCCGCCGCGGCTGAGGCTGATGCCCCTCATCCTTTTGCTTTCGGCCGGCATCGTCTTCGTCAACGTTGCCGACGACGGTGCTCTGGCCGGACGAGGAACCGCTCTGGGGCTGCGAGTGGGTCGAGAGGGGCCGCTGGCCGTGGTGCCTGGCCATGCGCTCCTCGACGTAGCGGCGCTCCTCTTCGGGGTCCAGCGGGTCGTCTCCGCCGAAGCGCGCCGTGCGCTTGCGGTTCTCCTCGATCTCCTCGTCGAGCTCGGTGCGCTGCGCCCGAGGACGATGCTGATCTTGGGTGCGCTGCTTTTCGTTATCGTCGTCGTCGCGGCGCAGATGCGTGTTGTGGCCTCCCTTTGGCGTATGTCCGACGAGGAGCTTGACGAGCTCATGGAGCGCCCTCTGGCCGATGCCGGCCGACGGCTCCGCGTCGTCGTGCGCGTGCTGGGTTGCCGCTGACATGGTCGCGCTGTCGTTGGCCCGCAAACGGACGGAGGAGGCGTCGAGGGGGCGGAGGGGAGGCAAGGCGCCGTTGCTAGATATCGTGGCGGCAAACGGAGGGGTCTTGGTCGGGGGCTGGAAGGCCTTAGCGGGAGGCCAACGACGACCTGCTTGGCCCTTTTATCGAAACGAAGAAGCGGGCCATCCGAGCCAGAGAGGGAGCGAGCGAGCGTTGGTTCGGGAACAAGCCAGGCAAGGTCGGAGAAACTTGCTCGTCTGGCCGCAGACGAGCGCGGGAGTGGTCAGCCTGCCCAGCAGCGACGGTGGGCCGGGAGCGTTCCATGACGCACGCACGGCATCTTGGGTCTGAAGGTGGCCGCGAGCTTTAGCCGCTTGTCGGCGAGCCCGAGCGCGTGTGTGGAGGGAGAAGCCGAGACAGAGAGAGAAGCAGGCGGAGATAGAGCAAGCAAGCAAGCCAGCGCCAAAGTCGAGGTGTCGCCGCGGGGACGACAGCGCAAACTTGCTTGCTCAGCGCTCGAGCTGGGGCCTTAGCCTGGTGACGCGCCGGCATCGCCTGTCACGCAACGAAGCCGCTGCGACTCGAGGTTGCCGGCATGCGGCCCGCCCGCTCCGTCGATGCCTCTCCAGCGCCTCGTACGCGTGCTTGTGCTCGATCCAGCCTGCTTCGGTGTGTGCCGGCCTGATTCTTTCGGATCTAAGTCCGATGGGCCTCTTCCATCACCCTCCTTCATCCCTTCCCGCCGGCTCGCTCGCTCGAAAGGGTCGGCTGCAGCGAGAGGCCGTCAACGGCGACGAAGACGAGGCTGGGGTGCTTGGCAGGCCTGGCCATGCCGCCAGGAACCAAGCAAGCAAATAAATTAAAGCAAAGCTGGCCCAGGGTTGCATCACCCTGCCCGCCTCGAGATCGCCAGACCCTTTAAGTTTCTTTGGTCGCGCGCGCGAGCAAAACCCGCCGTCGTATGCGCGAGCCGGCCCGGTAGAAGCCTGCTTGCTCTTTGGCCTGAAGCATACACCATCCGTCCTCGCAAACAGCCTGAACGACGAGGCCGAGCTGAAGGTCAAGCCCGACTCCACGGCCTTGCCGGGGCAACGATCATGTCGCGGTCGCGGGCGCTGGATTCGGGTTCAGGCCGAACGGAACGGGCGGGGCTGCCAGACCATCATGACGCAAGCCAGCGGCGCCTTCTAGCCGGCTGCCCGATGCCTGCCGATAAAGGGTCTAAAGAGAGCCAGCCCGATTCTCGTCTTGCGGGACCCCGATCGGGACTGGCCTGGCCTGCCTTGAATTTGGGCCGCCCCAAGCAGGCCAGCATGGCGGCTTTGCTCAGCTGCTTCGAGGGCGATTGGGGCGACAGCCGTGGCCGGGATCGGAACGTGCCTTTGGCAGCCTCGGCCCGCCCGGCGCCCTGCCTGCCTGCCAGCCTTGGGCCCCATGCTCTGTACGCTGCACGTGGTTGCCATCGGCACCTGCGACCGTGCGCCCGCTGCTTGACAGAAATGCAGCGACGCCGTCGGTGCGACGGTTTGGCAGATGTCTACATAGGCAGATGGATTCAGGCCGTGCGAAGTCCCTGCTTTGCGGTCTGCTTTGTTGCGATCCGGTCGAACAGGCAGGTTGAGGCGGAAGCAGGCTTGCGTGCTCCTCCGGCGGCGCCTTCGAGCTAAGGCAAGGACTCGAGAAGAGGCACCGGTTATCAGATGCGCGCTTTTCGACTGCTGCAGCGGCTGGAGCGGGGTGGGGGAGAGTCACAGAGTCGAAGGGGAGCCCGAAAAAGGCAGATGCAGCCAATCGATACGGCCTGGTCCGCGCTGGATCAAGCGAAAACGGCTCCAGAGGGCGATGGCCGCTGCGACCGACGGACGACAGAGCGCCGCTCAAGGCTGGCATGGCTGGCTGGCATGGCTGGCTGGCTGGCTGGCTGGGCGGTCGTCGAGATGGACCGACCCGTCGGACGGTGTGCCCACGTCGTCGCTGCTTGACGAGGTGGGTCAGGTCATCGCAGGGCAGCGCAGCGCAACGCAAAGCAAAGCAACCGACACCCTCCGCCGGATCCCTACCTCCAAATAAAGTCCGTCTGCCGTGCTTGCCGCCCGTCGATTGGGCTGGCTGCGCAAAAGGGGTCGTGCAAAGGCCCGCCAGGCCCCCGCCTGTTGTGGAGGATGCTGTGGTGGTCGAGGTGGGGGAGGAGGATGAGATGAGGGGCGCAGCAGCGAGGCAGGCAACGAGATGAGCTGAGGCGATCTCGCAGCCATCTTACGTGATTCGAGCGAATTGCTGCCTGGCCTGCCCGTCTGGCTGGCTTCTCCACCTTGCTTGCTTGGCCTGGGCTGCCCCGTCGATCCGGGCCCTGGATGGATCTCGGGGTCTGCGTCTGGCCATCTTTGATTTGGCTTGGCTTGGCTGTGCTGCTTGCTGCTCCCGATGGCTTGGGCGCGTCTGGGTTTCGTTTGGCCACGGAAGCAAGCAAGCAAGCAAGCAAGCAAGGCCGCGTAGATCTGCAGCCGGCGCCTGGCCTGCCGTGCCGTGCCGTCGTACGTATGGGCCTGGCGCCGCTCGCCGGCCTCGAGGGGTGGTCCCGGGGCCCTATCTCCACCCCGCCCGTCGCCCTTTGCTCGCTCCCCGGCGCACTTCTTCTTCGCCTCCCATCATCACCTAAGCCCATCTCTGCAGCTCTAGCCTGTTTAAAGCTCGATCTCGTCCTTCCACTGTCCATTTCCTCCTTTCCCTCGACACTTCCACCTCGTCGTCCACCGTTGACCACCCCCGTCCGCGACCCACCAACCGCCGTCTTCCACACGGATAGGGCAGGCCGCAGTCGTACCCACCGGGCCAGCATCGCACCTCGTCGCCGCTCCGTGGCATCCAGCCGTCCAGCCGTTCATCCCAGGGATCCAGTGCATTTGCCAGCAACAGGATTGTCGCAGAGGAGCCCGCATCGTCACCGTCACCGTCACCTGCACCAGACTCACCGGATTGCTCGCTTGGATAGCCGCCGCAGCAGGAGCCGCAGCCAGAGAACGCCCCACGACAGACGAATAGCGACACAGAACAACGCCGCCACGCATACGCCCGCCCAAAAGACCGATCGACCGACCCGCGCCATGTCGTCCAACCCCTACTTCGAACCCATGCCGTCCCTTGGCGGCGCTGCCAACAGTGCCGCGACCAGCGCCAGCGTAAGCCCCGCCGCCTCGGGCCTCCTCAGCCCGAGCTCGTGCAGCACCGCCGTCTCGAAGCTCTCGCTCAGCTTCGACGACTCGGCCTCGCGCTCGCCCTCGACGTCGGCCTGCACCTCGATCAGCGACGCCAGCTCCGAGATTCCCTCGATAGGCGGCCACCCGTCCAAGTCGGTCTCGCCCGGAGCCGTAGAGGCCGCTGCAGACGACGAGCTCGACGCGCTCGAGGTCGAGCGGAGGGAGCAGGAGGAGCTCGACTCGGCGCTCCTCTTTGGCACCCAGATCGTCCAGCGCGAGGCCAGGGCGCTCGCCATGGCGGCCAAGCGCCTCTCGAGGCTCGGCCCGCAAATGGACGGCTTCCGTGAGGCCGTCAAGCTCGTCCTCCGTGCCACCAACGGCGAGCGCGGAGGCAAGGTGGTCCTGACTGGCGTGGGCAAGAGTGGTGAGTAGCGGCGGCAGCAGCCGGCTCGCGTATGCGCTCGAACAGAAACCGTGGGACCATGCCGCTGACCCTCCTCATCGTCGACTCCCTCTTCCGGACCGCTACCGCCATCGCAGGCATCATCGCCAAGAAGCTCTCGGCCACCTTCCTGTCGCTCGGGACACCCTCCGTTTTTCTTCACCCAGTCGAGGCGCTCCACGGCGACCTGGGCCTCCTGACGCCGCACCGCGATGTGGTGCTGGCACTGTCGCACTCGGGCTCCTCGCCCGAGCTGCTCGCCCTGGTGCCGCATCTCAACGCGCGCAAGTGCCCCATCGTGGCGTTGGTGGGGAAACGAGAGAGCCCGCTGGTCAAGGCGTCGGACGCCTGGATCGACTGTGGCACCGGCAAGGACGACGACTCGGACGATGAGCACGAGGATGGCGACGACGACGACGACGACGACGATGACAACAACGGGAGCGGCGACGACCGAGGCGACGTCGACGTCGGTGCGCCGGCGTTGCTGGAGCGCTCGATGAGCGAGGGCGAAAGCAGCGCCAGCAGTAGCGGCATCAGCACGCCGTCCGAGGCCGACTCGGTCACGTCGGCGCCCGTGCTGCCGTGCAGCTGCTCGCAGCGCCGGTTTGGCGGGTCGCGCAAGCGGCGCTCGACGCGGATGGCGCGGCCGTCGACCGACGAGGCGTGGGACGAGGTGCCGGCGCCCAGCAGCAGCACCACGGTGGCGCTGGCCATGGGCGATGCGCTGGCCTTTTCCATCACCCGCGCAAAGGGCCTGGGCCGCGACATGTTTGCCTTCAACCACCCGGGCGGCAAGCTCGGCGCCGACTTCCGGATGCAGGGCCACGCCGTGCCGCTCCAGACGTTTGATGTCGTCGCCAACGGGGGCGGCAGCGCCGTCGCCACGCCCATCGCCAACTAGTCCCGCCTCAAACTGGACGACCTCATCGCCCCGCCCGCATCCCTCGCCCCGTCCCGCTCCGCTCCGCTCGGCTCCAATGTATTTGTACCATCTCCCGGCCACCTCGCTCCCTCTTCCGTCTCTTCCAAACCAAAACTCACCTCGACTGGCGCAACCGCATCCCGCCGGAGTGGAGCTGCGCCCGTAGATCGCCATTTCGTCGTCCCGCCGTCGCGGCTGCAGCTGCTCGGGCCGAAGTCGAAGAAGAATGAAGAATAATGAAAAAAAAAATGTGGAGCACCACGGCTCGGTCTGTCTTCCGACTTCCGAGGTAGACGGCACTTACCGCCGCGTCTCGCCCGCGCCGTCTGCCGTCGGAACCGTCGGCGGGGTCGCAGCGCAGCCCCGATGGGTCGCGCTGATGCGGCAGCGTCGTGCGGTAGGGAAACGGATGCCGGATATACATTTCAACGAGCGTCAACTGGTACGGGCGCCGGGCAACGTGTCGAGGTCTAGGTTGTTGTGCGAAGGCGCGGAGAAAGAGACATGCGGTTGAGCGGACTAGGGAAACAGGGGGATGCCGGGGGAAAGCGTCGTAGGTAGTGTAGCGAAGAGAGGCGCGGCGGCCGTCATCGCCGTGTCGACAAAGCGGGCAGATGACGAGGGTCGAGGCCAGCCTGCGCGGGTACGAGTGGGACGGCGTCCGCGACAGCAGAGGTGCGCGTTCGGTCGAAGGTGCCGGAAAGGCGCCCTCTCAGTGAAATGCGAAGGCCGGAGAAGGAGGTGATGGACGGCGCTTTTTGCGTGAGAAAGGCCTTGGCCAACGTCGCACGAGCGGGCCCTCTCTGACCGTCAGATGGGTGCGTGCGTGCGGTATCCGCGTCTAGGACTGGGCGCACTGGACCTGGGGGCCTGCGCCGCCGTCCTCGTCGTCATCGTCGCCAGCGTGCATGCCGTGGGCGCCGCCGTTGGTCTTGGCGGACCGTGCCTCGCGCTCGTCGACCTCGTCCATGATGACGTCCTCGACGTCGACCTCCTTCTTGGTCTTGGGCAGCGCGCGTCGCGCGGGCAGCGCCTGCTCGAGGAGCGCGAAGCTCGACTCGGGCAGCGAGTCCGGGAAGGCGACGGTGAGGTTGACGTAGAGGTCGCCCATCTCGTGGTGGCGGTACGAGGGCATGCCCTGTCCACGGAGCACCTTGATCGAGCCGGGCTTGATGACCTCGCCGGCGGGGATCTCGACCGAGAGTGCGTGGTCGTCGAGGTGCTCGATGAGAATCTTGCCGCCCGCCAGCGCCGTCAGCAGGTCGACCTCGACGTCGATGAAGAGGTCGTTCTTCCTGCGCTTGAAGCGCGGGTGGGGCTTCTCGTCAATAACGATGACGACGTCGCCGGGGATCGTGTTGGGCGCCTGGTCGGCCTCCTCCTTGAACGTGATCTGCTGGCCGTCCTCCATGCCCTTGTCGATCCGCACCTCGAGCACCTTGCGCTCCTGGGTAATCTTCTTGCCGTTGCACTCCTTGCACTTGTCCTTCTGGTTGATCTGCTCGCCGGCGCCCTGGCAGTCGGGACACGTCTGCTGCATCTGCTGGACCATCGGGCCGAGCTGGCGCAGCACCACCTTGATGCCCTGGCCGTTGCAGCCGTTGCACGTCTTGACGGCGCCCTCCTTGCCGCCGCGGCCGTCGCACTTCTTGCACAGCACGTGCTTCTGCAGCGCCAGCTTGGTCACCTTGCCGGCGTAGAGCTCCTCGAGCGACACCTTGACGCGGTGGACGAGGTCCTTGCCCTTTCTCGGGCCGCGCGGCCGTCCACCTCCGCCGCCAAAGAAGCCGCCACCTCCGCCGCCGAACAGCTGCGAAAACAGGTCCTGCGGGTCCATGCCACCGCCCATGCCTCCACCTCCCTCGAGGCCGGCCTCTCCGAATCGGTCGTACCTGTGTCGGTCCGCGTGGCGGGAGTAGAAGCACAGAGCCAGGTCAGCATCGCCGCACCGTCGCACCGTCGCAGACCGCCGCAGCAACGCCGCAGCAACACCGCACTTACAGGTCACGCTTGTCGGCGTCGGACAGGACCTCGTATGCGGCAGTGATGGACTTGAACTGGCGGGCCGAGAGAAGAGCGAATCGGGAAAGACGAGCGTCAGCATCCTACCACTGGCCGTTGTCAACCCGGCCGGCTCGGCTCGGCTCAGCATGGCCGAGCGGGCCATTGCCGGAACACTCACCACCTCGGGGTCGCCGCCCTTGTCGGGATGCGCCTGGAGCGCCTTCTTTCGGTATGCCCTGAAGACACCAGGCGGACACGGAGGGAGAGGGAGAGACACCTTCGGTCAGAACATCATACACTGGTCGCCGCAGCACAGACGGCCATCGACAGGCGCGGAGGCCCACACTCACTTCTTGAGCTCAGCATCGCTGGCGCCGGGAGTGACGCCGAGCAGGTCGTAGAACTTGGTCTCCTTGACCATTTTGGTCTGGGTATGCGGGGGGGATCAAAGGGACGTGGGGGGTCGGACGAAGCTGACGGAGAGTCCGGAGCGCCGAGTGCGATGAGTGGGTGAGAGGGACGAATGCGCTGCGCAGGCTGCGAGGAGATCGGGGGGGGGGGGTGCGCTTTTGGGTAGGTGAAGGGGGAGAGCGACGATGGGGTCGGGATGGTGTTGCTAAGCTTGGTGGTGACCGGCGCTTGATGGACGGCAGAGAGACCGGGCGGCGGCGGCGGAGGAGGCCAAGCTGCCATAAAAATTGAAAGTGCGTGGGTGCGAAGGGGGTCGAACGCCCCCAGCCAGCGTTTGAGCTTTGGCACTTGACTTGATCACCCGCAAGCCGACGCACAAACGGCGTGCGGCCTTACGCAGCCGGCTGCCAGGCTGGCCGGCGAAGGGCTGAGCAAGACCAGGGTAGGGTCGCTCGAAGGTGCTGGAGCGGCCTGCCAGCCCGCCACACGACACGCGCGGGGGCGACAAGCCTGGCCAGGCCAGCCAGGCAGGCCAGCGGAAGCCACCGGGGCCTTCCGAACAGCCGGGCTGGCCGTCTTGCTTGCTTGCTTCTGTGCGGCTCGAGAAATTTCCGTGGGCGGCCGGCCAGCGCCAGCGCCCGCGCCCGCCAGCCAGCCCTCGAAAAACTTCCAAGGGCGGGCGCGGGCGTGGGCGCAGAGACATCGACCTGGGGCGAGGCGGCCGCCAGAGTTTTGTTCCATCGACTTCTTCGCGCGCCCGCGCCGCCTGCCTCTGCTGGCCACCGCGGGCAACGGATCGGGCGAGCCAGATATGGATCGGGGGCTGGGTCAGGCAAAAGTCGAGATGCAGGGTCCACTTTCGCTCGCATGCGCCGGCAACCCGGACGGGCCTCGCCTCGCCTGACCTGACCTGACCTGACCGGCCGCATTGCCGCTGCTCGTCCAGCTACCGATAGCAGGAGTTAGGCCATCTCGCCCTTGCTCGCCAGCTACCGCCGCAGCGTGATCGTCCCCGCCAGCCTGCCCTCATCGCGATGTAAAGGCAGCCCACGATGCGCGATATCGGCACCATGTCCAACACTGCAACCACCGCCACCACCACCGCCAACGCTAGCAGCAGCGATGCGGCCTGGTACGCGGCGAGCCTGGCGCCAATGTGCGCCACGGATCCGCCAATCGAGTACCTGCCGGACGACGTGCCGCTGTACGTGTGCGCAAAGTGCGGCACGCACCTGGCGCTCCAGGACGAGATCATCTCGAAGCAGTTCACCGGCCGCGACGGCAAGGCCTACCTCTTCAACACGTCCATTAACACCGACCTCGGCCGCCGCGAGCAGCGCCAGTTCCTCACGGGCCTCCATACCGTCGCCGACCTCCTCTGCAGAGGCTGCGGCACCAGCGTCGGTTGGAAGTACGTCCGCACCCCCTCGGCCGACCAGAGGTACAAGGAGGGTGAGTGTGTGCCCGTCTGCCGCCTTCCTCGCAAGAGCAGCGCCGAGCATCTCGATGTCGTGCGCGGGTGACGCTGCTGAACGTCGCCCTGCCGCCCCCTTCTTTTCGACCGTGGCGCCACACGTTTTCGCTCTGCTGCAGGAAAGTTCATCATGGAAGTCGGCATGCTCCACAAGGTCAACAACTGGTAGCCGCCGGGCCGCGAGCTGCTGCTGCGCCCCGTCAATCCTCCCTCCCGATGCCGCTGCCGCGGTGCAGGGTGATGCGCTTGTCCTGCCCACCGGCGACAATGACCTGCCCATCGCGGCTCCAGTCGAGCGCCAGCACCTTGTCCTGCAGCAGCGCCGGCGCCTCCTTGGACGCGGGCCGCACCAGCGAAAACAGCGAGCGTTTCGGGCTGCGGCTGTCCCACAGCTTGACGGTGCCGTCGTGCGACGCCGTGCTGAAGAGGTGCGACGACGTCGGGTGCGCGCGGATCGCGCTCACCGGCCCAGAGTGGATCTGCGACAGGTGCAGCGCGACCTGGACCGCATCTGCAGGAGAGGGGCAGGAGAGGGGCGACGAGGAGAGAAGGAGGAGATCGGGACCGTCAGCAGGCAGTGCGAGAGCGTCGATGAGGCAGGCGGGCTCGGCGAGCTTCGCTCCACTCACCGGTCCTCGTGTCCCAGATGGCGGCGCTGCGATCCATGTGGCCCGTCGCCAGCACTGCGGCGCCCGAGCCGGCCAGGGGCGCCAGCTGGTCCATGCACAGAATCACCTTGTCAGACGTCTGGAGTGGGGGGAAGAGGACGAAAGGACAAGAGCCAGGCAGACGGACGGACGGACGGACGAGCGGTCAGCCTTCGTTGCTGCTGCTAGTTTCGACGAGCGAGGCACAGTCACCCACCTTTGTGCTCGTGTTGACGCCGCCGATGCCAAAGTCCCAGCTCTTGAGGCTGCCGTCCCAGCCGGCGCTCCACGCCGAGTTGGGGTCCTTTGACCCCCCGGCCCGTTTCGCAAACAGGGCTTTGGACACCCTCGCGTTGGTGCCCGGCACGAGGCTGGTAGCGTTGCGCCCCTGGGTGAGCGCGACCGACGTGGCGGGCGCCGTGTGCCAGACGACCATGACGGGCTCCTTGCGCAGGCGGTCGCGCGTGGCCGCCTGCTTCTTTGCGCCCGTCTTGAGCTTCCTCCGCTTCCGCCTCTGCGCGCCGGGATCCTGCGAGTCGTCGTTGTCGTCATCGTTGTCGTCGGCCCCCTCGCCATTGGCGTCGATGGCATCCAGGTCGACCTCCTCCTCGGACGAGTAGTCGGCCTCGGCGCCGCCTCCCGCCGACTCGACCAGCTCGTCGTCCCACAGCGCCAACGCGCCGTCCCACGCCGCCGACATGATGTGCGACGTGCCGGCAAAGTTGCCCGCGGTAACGTCGAGCGACGAGACGGGCTGCGTGTGGTACTCGCCGTTCCACTTCTTGTGCGGCCGCCGGCTGCTCGATGGTGCAGACGAGGCGCCGTCGAGCGCCGCTTGGGCCGGGTCGGCGGGCAGCTCGACGTCCCACATGCGCACCACGCCGTCCATGCCTCCGGTCACGATCGACTTGCTCGAAGAGGCCGGATCCGCGGCAGACGACGACGACGAGGCCGAGGGCACCCACCGCGCATCGGTGAGCGAAGGGTTGTTGGATCCCACCCGCACGGTCGAGAAGGTGTAGAGGGCGTCGGATGCGTTGTTGGCGGCAAAGACGCGGACGCTGCCGTCGTAGCTCGACGTCAGGAAGGAGCTGCCGAGTTCAAGGAGAGGAGAGAGCGGCAACAAGCAGAAGGGATCTTGTCAGCCTTGCGATACCGGTCCACCTGCGACACGAAGCGCGGCCGTTCGGGCAGCGACCTGCCGACACTCACCCGTCCACCGAGGCATCGACGCTGGCGACCCAGTCGTCCTGCTCAAAGGCGCTGACAAAGGTCGGGGGCAGGGTGCTGCGGACGTATTCGATCTGTAGCGTCGACTCGCTCGTGAGGCCGACGGACTCGAGGTACTCGTGCAGGCTGGTGCGGAGCAGCTGGCCGTCGACGATAAAGTCAAAGGGGATGGAGCGGGCGGCGGCATCCTGCTGGGCGTCGTGGTCGTGGTCGTCGAAGCCGAGGGCGTTGGTCGACTGGAGCAGCTTGTTGACCAGCGTCGAGAGGTGCGTGCGGCGCCAGTCGGTCGGCACAATGTAGGGGCCCGAGGGGATGGCCAGCGAGTGGAGCGACGTCGTCAGCGTGATGGGCACCGTCGTCACTGCAGGCGCGGCCCCGCCGGGCGGCGCAGAGGTGGTGCTGGCGTCCATTTCGGGCGGGCTTTGGATATGGAAGGCCCGGTTCCCGTGAGAGATGAAGTGATGGAGGCAGTGGTGGCGACGGTGGTGGCGATGGAAGAGATGGTGATGGTGGTGGTGATGGTGATTAGCGGCACAGCAGCACAGCAGCAGCAGCAGCAGCAGCAAGCGTAGCGGCGGGTCCACAGCGAGTCTTCTCAAAACTTTTTTTCTCCGAAAGTGGTGGGGCCCATCACGGCCGCCAGGAAAAAGTTGGAGTTTCCACTCTTGCTGCACAAGCTGGTGGCAGGGCCAGGCCAGGCCAGGCCCAGCCTGAGCCGGAACCGACGCGGGGCGTGGGACCCTGGCCTCTGAAGCCCGCCTCCCGAGGTTGACCTCGGCCTGGACCACGCTCGCCCTCGACCTCGACTTCGACGACCACAACCACCATGGCCGCGGCCACCTCCTCCTTCATTCGACCAGGACATCGACAATGACCGGCCTACCAGTCGCCGTTCAGGGATAGTAACGGACACTCGTCAGCACAATTTCGACGTAGCGAGCATACACGACCTCGACGCTCGACGACTCACTTGTGGACGATATGGTACACGACTGAAGGGGGGCGGGGAGGCAGGCAAGCCGCAGGGGCCAGTCAGTCAGCGTCATTTGGCGGCGATTCCCATCTCCCTGCCTGAGGTCACACTCACACTTCTCGACAGTGGCGCCCTTCTGCGACTCGAACTCGACCATGGCCGCGTTGACAAACACGGTCTCGTCGCCGCCGCCGAGGTCGTAGCGGTGGTGGTAGACGCCCCTCGCCTCGTGAATGTGGCCAAAGGCGTGGATGCGCGGGCGCACCTCGTTGTCGTGCAGTAGCTTGCGCGTCAGCTCGGCACAGCCCACACTCGTGCCGTCGTCGATCTTGTCCAGCCCGCCGATGGCGTGCGGAGGCGAGTGGGTGAGGAGGATGTCGGTGTCGCGCGGGATGCCGGCGTGCACCTCTGCGGGGGGTGGACGGGCCGTACTGTCAGCAGGCAAACACAGGCGGGAGCGAGGAGAGCGAGGAGACAGCAGGCAGGCATGACTCACTCTTGGCCTGCACGGATGGGGCAGGGCATCGAGGTGGCGAGAAAGAGGAGCAGGTCAGAGGCGCATTGGAGCGGCAAACTGAGCCGACCACACAGACTCACCTCTTCGCCGGCTCGGTAGTTCCACGCCCAGCCGCCAAAGTAGGGCGACCACTGCAGCATTTCGAAGGGAGCACAAGGCCAGGGTCAGCACGTCTCATGGCGACGACTTCGCATCGAGGCCGCGGCCGAGCTCACCGGGGACCCCCACACCTTCCAGGTCTTGTGGCTGACGCCCTGCCGGTCGACGTTGAAGCTCGCCTGGTCGTTGTCGAGGTAGACGACATCTGGCGGCAGGTTCTCGAGCAGCTGCCGCACCCTGCTCGTGTCCGAGGGCGGATAGTCGTACCTGGCGTGCAGGTCCCTGCCCCGCGTCTCGTACCACATTTCGGAGCACGCGGAGAAGTCGTGGTTGCCCGCGATGATGACCTTTTTGGCGTGCGGCAGCGTCCTGGTGGCGAGGCATGCATGGAAAATGCTGTGAGGAGGACGTACAGGACCACGCGCGATGGAGCCGGGTTGGAGCAGGGACACGTACTGGATCCATCGCACCTGCTTGATCATCTCGTCGTCTGAGCCCAACGCGGTCAGGTCGCCGGCATGGAGCAGAACGTCCTGTCAATGTCGGGCAGGGGGCGTAAGATAAGCCGATGTCACTTGTTTCAGTCGGGTCCCCTGCCCCTATGAGAGCTTCAGGCCGTCATCTGGCACTCACGCCGTCGGGTACCTGGGCCGGCTCGGTCGAGTGGGTATCGGCCAGGACGACGAAGCGTACGTACGAGTCGCTCGTCCGCGGCGGTGGGGATGCGAGGTCGTAGTCGGACCAGTAGACTGTCCGCGGCGTTCCTGTTGTCGATGCGGTAGTCATCCTGTCGACTGCTAAGAGGGAGAGGAGGGCGGCGACGGCAACGACGGTGAGGATGGTGGTGGCGGTAGGAGGGAAGAAGGCGGGGTGAGCTCGGTATGGCCTCTTTGGCTTCTGACCCAACCCAAAATGTGGAGGGGTCCAGGCCTGCCAAGCCTGGCCCGTGCGGGCGGCCCGCCAGCCAGGCAGGCTCCACCGACGCCCTTGGAGCCCAAGCCCACACACCTCCGCACCCTTGCTAGAAGCCGAAACCTGCTGGAACCATGCGATTGCGAGTAAGAAGCCGTGTCTATGCGAAAGCCAATGAGAGCCGATGCTGGGATCCGGATGAGATAGAGAACAAGCTCCAAAGATGCGCGGGAAGACGAGAATGCTGCGAGAGAGGAGAACACGGAGCGTGTGTCTGGCGTCACGACCGCGGCCGCTGCGAAGTGAAGCGGTTGCGCGGCATAAAGATGCTCGACATGGCCGCCGCCGAAACCATCGGCAGCGCCGACGACGACGAAGATGATGGCAGTCTCGATGTAGATGTCGATGTCGAAGGGAGGGTGCGTCGCACAACGGGGGCTGGCGGCGGTATCGCCGGTGGTCGGCCGCCTTGCAGCCGCTGCCTCTTTGCCGTCGTCGCGCCAATCGGGGGGCTGTGCAGAGGGCTACTGCTGTTGCTGCTGCTGCTGTCGTGGGTGGCCGACCTCTTCGCGCCGGCAATTGAAGAGTCAGTACGAGGACCAAGGCTCGGCCTCGTCGCCAATCTTCGCACCGAGGCATCGTCCGAGCTTGAGTCGCCGCTCGCCCCTCCAGCAGAAGATGTTGGGGCAGACGGCTGTGCGAGGCGCGCCTTCTTGGAAGTCGTCACCGTGACCGCCGGGCTGGGTCGCTTTGTGCCTCGCGACGGGCTGTCGATGCTGCTGGCCTTGGTCGTCGTGCCCACCGCTGCCGTCACCGACGACGATGACGTCTTGACTGGCGAGCTCGTAGATGACCGGCTGCTGCTTCCGAAAAAGTCAATGGTCCGCCGCTTGCCGATCGTGGTGGTGGTTGTGGTGGTGGTGCTGCTGCTGCTGCCGCTGCTGCTGCTCGCTGGGCTTGACGAGATTGCGGCGCTCGCAGCAGCCGTGCTCCGGGCCGACGGCCGGCCGAGTACGCTCGCATCAGGCGCTGTTGCGGCAGCTTGCCTCGGCGGCTCGATGCGGGCCCGCTTCGTCGCCCGCGTGTCGCCCAGCCGGTCCTCGTCGTTGGCGTCTTCCGAGTCGCTGGCGACCGCCTTCTGGTTCCACTCGATGGCCTCCTTGAGCCGCTGGCTCTGTCCGCTGACCCGCTTCGGCGCAACCATCGGACGCTGGGCCACGGGGCTGCTGGACTGGAGTTGGCTGCCCGCTGCCCGCGCCCGTCCGACGGTGGTTGGTCGAAAGGCATTCTTGCCGCCGCCGGTCAGCCGAGCCGCCGCCAAGGAGCCGGAGCGAGCCTTCATGATGAGGCTGTGGCCCTTGGTGCCGGGCGTCGTGGTCGTGGCGAAGCCGCCGCCGGGCCGCCGAGTCCCTCTGGTCTTCATCAACGGTCGGTCCGAGACGACGAGCTTCTTTGCATCCTTTTCGGCGCGGTGCGAGGCGTAGCGGTCCTTGATGCGCTGCTTGGCCTCTGCCTTTTGCTCCTCGAGCTCGCCCTTCTTCCTCTGTGACAGACGGAGGGTGGATCCGGAAGGGTGATGCGGTGTCAGTCAGGGAAGGAAAGCAGCGACGGGGTCGTCGGGCATCGCGCTGGCAGGACCGACTCACGAAGTAGACTCTACGCCAGCTCTTGGGCTCCTTTGCGTCGCTCTCGTACTTCTTGCGGACCTCGACAAAGTCGCGGAGGCAGTTGCGCTTCCAGATCTGGTCGGTATCCGTCAGCAGGTGCTGTGGAGGCGGGGCCGCAAGGGAAAGCGTTGGAGGAGGGGGAGGGGGGTTGGGGGTCAGTCCAGCCTCGTCGGAGGAGCGGCAGATCGCCCGAGCCACCGGGGCGTCGACTTACCGGCGAGGCCTCCTCTATCGTGATGAGCTGGTCGACGCGGCACTGTTCGAGGATGTCCTTTGCTATCCGGAACGGCATGTCGCCGAGGTTTTGTACGGCTGCGACGAGTAAGATCAGAGCGGGGGCAGGTCAGATGATTGAAGCAGTCTGGAGGTGGTCCGCCTGCAGCTCAGCGGGACTCACCATGTAGGTTGCGCAGGACGACTGTCGGGCGCGGGAAGAGCGGTTTCATCGCGGCGAGAATGGATCAGAAGTCAGTTTGCGATCCTGCATATCGTTGACATCGCCAGCAGCCAGCGGCGGGCACTCACCCTTCCTGCACATGTTGGTGAGGGACAGCTTTGCGTCTCTGCCGCCGCCGAGGGGCCGGGCGGTGAGTTTGGGCAGGATGGCGGCGGCGTCGACGACGGTGCGGTCGGGCGAGTCGCCCGAGTGGCGCCGTTCGAGGACGGCGGTGCCCATCATGCTGGGCGGCTCCGGAGAGCGCTGCCAGTCCTTCATGTTGACGAGGGTGTGCGCGGTGGAGAGTAGGAGGAAGGGGGGCCTAGAAGGGGGGGAAAGCAGGTCGACGAGTCGGCCCAGGGTGCGGTAGTGAGGCGCTAGTGCCAAAGCAACGGGGGGTCGATGCTCGTAGGGTAGGCAGGGTACGATGGCGAAGGCCGATGGCGGCGAGGTGGAGTCGGGGTGCTGGGATGGCAAGGGGAAAGCTTGCGAAAGTGTCTAGGCGCTCTTGCGGTCTGGGATTGGTCCCAAAGAGGTCGCTCTATATGAGCACGGCGAGGACCGGGGGTGACCAGGGGGGGAAGATGGAATGACGAGCAGAGGTGAAGGATGTGGTCGAGAGAGAAGGGGCAGCGAGCGAGGGGGTCCCCAGGAAGGCGAACGAGAAAAAAAGTTGGGCGGTCGGCTGGCCTGCTCGTCCGGAGGCAGCTGCAGAGGTGCGTGCGAAGCTGGTGGTGGTCGAGCAGCAGCCTACGACGCGGCGTGTGTGGAGGCACAAAGGCAAAAAGCGGGCCAGGCCTGCCAGCCCAAGCGCCGTCGGGTCGGGTCGCGGTGCAGGTCCCCAGGCACATCCAGCGCCAGGACCAGGGCCAGTTCTAGGGGTCCAGGTGCAGCCGGTTGAGCAAAAAGCGCGTGCCTCGAGGCAGGCCTGCGAGCAGCCGGCCGAGGCTAGCTCGACTCTTGCCTGCTTGCGTGGCTTCCGCCCTGCCTCGCCGCCTCCGATCCTCCCTCCCTCCTCTTCCCCTGAAATCGCGTCGACCTTGCCGCTGGCAGACAAGGGTGCCTCGGCCGACGTAACTTTGGACGGGCCGGGAGCTCGCCCGGCGTCCGGCGATGGCGCTTCCGCTTCCGCCCCCTCCCGCTCGGTCGTCGATGCAAGCTGAAGTGTCTGGGGATCGAGGATAGGTAGAAGTACACGGATTGGCACAGTGACGCTTTGGCGGCCGAGAGTTCAAACGAGCGGGAGCGGGATAAAGGAGCAAAATGAGTGGTTGTCGGTCGGCCGAACAGGGTGATCAAGGCTGGGGCCGGTCTCTTGCAGCGGCAGAGGCGATGGCAGCAACGGCGGACCACGGACGGGCGGCCTTCGGTGTGTGCGGGATGGAGTCGGTGCGGCTTGCTCGCAGGCTTGCGGGGCTTGGTGGCGGTCGAGCGGCTGGGCGCGGCAAGTCACAGAATCTGCGTGGCCGACTCGCCCGTCTCGACGAGGCGCTGCCACTCCTTGCGCGCCCCGTCCATCGTCTGGCGCACATCGCTGCGCTGCATGGCCGCGTCGATCCACGACAGCAGCGCGTCGTCGTCCTCGGGCACAAAGTAGCCGCTCAGCGCGCCCAGGATCGTCTCAAAGTCGGCCTGCGGCGATAGGATCTTGGCGCGGTGCGACCAGATGATGGCCACCGCCACCAGCGTGATGACGTCCTGCCCCTCAAACAGCCACGCGTCCCAGATCCGCAGCTGCGTCTCAAAGGGCATGCTGTTGGCGAACAGCGTAATGTACCACTTGGTCGCAAACGCGCTCGTCACCACCATCTGCTCGTCGAGCTTGGCCGCCACGTCGGGCATCAGCGCCCGCACCACCGAGTTCTGCACGTAGAAGTTCTCGACCAGGCCGGGAAAGCCCGGGCTGAAGGTGCCGTGCAGCGAGTAGGTGTGGTGGAGCATCACCATGGCCGCGTACGCCTGGTCGGGCGCAAAGTAGCACAGCAGCGTCGCCGCAATCGGGCCCATGCCCTGGCAGTAGCCGCAGTCCGGGCACAGCAGGCTGATGGCGTGCAGCACGTGGAACAGGCTCCGCTGGCCCTGGCCGTAGCGCGTGTGGAACTGCACGTGGCCTCCAATCGTCCGCGGAACGTCGAGGTCGATCTGGACGTCGTGCGGGCTGGCCACCGGCAGCAGCGAGCTGAACCGCTTGGCGTGGTCGCGCCGCATCCCCGTCGCCTGCAGCCGCCGCTCGTCGCGCGCGCCGCTCTTGCTCTTCTGGCCAGAGGCGCGCCCCTCGACCGAGCCGGCGTGCCGCAGGATGAGCGCCCACCACGCGGCGGCCCGCCAGATGTCCGGGATGCCCTTGTAGATCCGCCGCCGCAGCCGCTTGTCGACGCCGCGCACAAAGTCGTGCTCGAGCGCATTGAGGCCCTCGTCGCGGTCCGTCACCTCGAGCATGCTCTGCCACTTGGCAATCCGGTCCTTTTCCCGGTCGCGGTGGTGCCGGTCGGCCGCCGATCGCGCCCGCTGCGCGGCCTTGGCCTCTTGCTCCTTGCGCGAGTCTGGTGCGCCGTCGGCGGCCAGGCCATTCGTCGAGAGGTCCGCCGGTACGGGATCCGACGGCTTCGGCCGCCCCTTTTTCTTGCCGCGGCGAGGCAGCGGCGCTGCGAACACCGAATTGGGCAGCAGGATCGTCCGGTTGTGCGATGGCAGCGACTGCCCTTCGAAAAAGAAACCGTACCTTGCGGATCAGAAGAGGGAGGGCGAGATCGACGCAGAGGCAACGGCAGGCAGCGGGCATACATGGAATCAGCCAAGCCTGTCGACACATTCTGCTGGGGCCCGAGCCGTCGGCACTCACCGGTCAACCTTGCTCATGAGCTCCGCGCGCTTTCTTTCCTCGGCCTCGCGCTGCTGCTGCCACTCTTCGCTAGTGAATCGGCCGGCCTCGCTGGCGGTGCTCTGCGTGCTCAGCGTGCCCGGCAGGATGCCGGTGCCAATCGAAGGGCTGCCGGAGCGCGAGCCGACGAGCACATCCTGGTGCAGCTGCCTGTCGGATCGCAGGCTGGCTGCGCTCGGAGAGGCGGTGCCGCTCCGCAGAGGATGCAGTGCGGGTGCCAGATGCGGCCGCTGCAGGTCTCCCTCTGCGGACGGCAGTGCGGACGCAAAGGATCTCGGCGTATGGCTGGAGCGGGCGTCATCCGCAGCGCCGCTCAACGAGGCGACCCGGGACCGCAGGCCCCCAGGATCGGAGGCCGCTGCATCGCCGCTGCCCACTGGTAACCGGAGCGCGTCGAGGTGGGCCTCTTCCCACGCCGGCATCCCAGCCTTCTCGCGCGTGTACTCCTTGCCGTCGGCAAAGCCGTCGCCGGGCACGCCGGCGCGGGCAAAGTGGGCGTAGGTCTTGCGGATAAAGTCGCCATCGTTGTCGCCGGGCGTCTTCCAGCTCTCGGAGTCGGCCCTGCTGGCTGTGCCGTCCATCAGCCGGGAGGCGAGCAGCGAGGATGAGGCCGGGGCCATGGCTGTCTCCGGCGACATCGACGACTGTGGGCGCGATCCGGGATACCGGACCGGGAAGCGCTTGGACGACGCCGGCGGCTCGTCGGCGCTGGGCGAGCTGGGGGCGGTGTACGGCCTGGCGCTGTAGCGCGAACCGCGGCCCCCGCTGGCGAGAGAATCCGTCCGGTACGGTATCCCGAGGGCTCCGTCCTGCACGGCGGGCCCGTTGCGGCCGAAGCCGTTGCCGAGGCGGACCATGTCTGTGCGGCCACGGAGGTCTTCGAAGGAGCGAGACGAGTGGTTCGATGCCTGAGCTGGCAATCGCAGTTGCCTCAGCGTTCTGCCGCCGCCCGATATCGGGAGCGTAGGGGCTGATGCGGCCTGCGGGCCGACGGGCGCAAGCGACGAGGCGCGAGACGATGCTCGAGACGACGCTCGGGATGCAAGGAAGAGCGGCCGGAGGTTGCGGCTGGACCGCTCGGTATCGGACGACTCGAGTGGCGGCGGGGACGATTGGTAGCGGAGGGTTTCGCCTCCTGGACTGCCGAGCAGGTCCTGGTCGTCTTCGGCGGGGATCCAGACGCCCGGTGGGCAGCGAGGTGTCGCCGGAGCAAACTCGAAGAGTGCGGGATGGAGGGGGCCCTTGAGTCGGGCTCTCGTCTCGCTCCAGCCGTCGCAGTGGGGCGAGGGCTGCGGAGAGTAGCGAGGGTGTGGCTGCGAGGACGAGGGCGAGGGCGAGGGCGAAGGTGTTCGCAGGGCAGTCGAGCTGGCGGAAGAAGGGGCGTGGCGGCCGAGGCAGGCGTCAGAGTCTGGCGGGAGGATTAGCGAAGGGGTGGTGGGCGAAGGGTCGGTGAAGCTGGCGCGACCGTCGGAGGCGGTGGTTGCCGTGGTGGTGGTGGTGGTGTCGCAGGCGATGGGGTCGAATGCGCGGTAGGACGAGGTATTTGATGGAGGTCGGGACGAGGGCCGGCGAGGGTGGTGGAACGAGGTGGGCGCGCGGTACTGGAGCTGGCTCATTGCCCAAGCGGTGCCGCAGCGCTACCGAGCCTCGAGGTGAGGGCGTCTGCCCGCCGTCGCCGCCGTACCCTGCCGACCGAGTCGTGGCGCCTAGCAGTGGAAGGCGAGCTGGAGCGACATCGAGGAGGAGGGGGTTGACAAGCAGGTTGATGGGGCTAAGCCGAGGCCAGCGAGGAGGGGGGAAAGGAGGAGTGCTGCTGCCGCTGTCCTCGTCGATGTGGATAGCGGGGCACGGATCTCGAGCGCCTCGATATACCTAGCGGTTTGCAAGTGAGAGAGGACGCCTGGAGTGGGCCCGAGAGCGGGCGGGCTGTGTGGTTGGCGCAAAGGCGAAAGGCGAAAGGGGGCGGCGGCGGCGGCTCGGGTGCGAGCTGAGGCGTGGCCGAGCTAGTCGAAGAGCAGTAGTGGTAGGGGCGCGTAGTAGGTAGTAGTAGTAGTAGCGTAGGTTGCCGCGGCCGAGATGTGGGTGGCCAGAGAAGGAGCAGGTAGGTAGGCCAACAGAGGCAGGTGGGTTGGTGGACAGCAAAGTAGCAGCCAAGAATTGAGGCGAGCTGAGAAATGAAAGGGATTGTAGCGGGGCGGGAAGGGCGAAGAAGCTTAGCTTGTGTAGGTCGGGCGAGCGGGCCTAGGCTGGAATATGGTGGTGGTGGGTCGAAGGATGGTGGCCGCCGCTGCCTCGAGCGCAGGCCCGACCGAGCCAAACGGCCAAGCGACGGACAAAGCCAGCCAGGGGGGCGAGCGAGCGAGCGACGTCGTTGTTCGGCCTGGCCTGCTGCAGGGTTGGTGGGCTGGCGGGCGTGGTTGCATGCCAGCCTGCGCTGCTGGCCCGCCTGCCTGCCTGTACTGCCCTCTCTACTACTGCTCTGACCCTGGCCTTTGTCTCCGCTGCGCTGCTGCTGCCCTGGCGCGTTCCACGCAGCAGGCCGAGCCACGCCCAAATCTTCGCACCAGCCACGCCCGAGCCACCCTCTACCGTGGCCAGAGGCCTCCCTCGGCGCTCGTTCTCGCCCTTCCCCACTAGCCTCGCTCTCTTCCTCGCCACATTCAGCCCCGGCCTGCTCAGGCGTAGATGGATTCGACATGGATGGCAGGTGGTGAATAATGCAAGAGGCTGGGCAAGTGTGAGAGAGAGGAGGACAGGGCAGGGCCAGAAGCCGTCTAGGCGTCGCCCTCGTCGTCGTCGTCGTCGTCCTCTTCGATGGCGCCCACCTCAAACTCGCCAATGACGTCCCAGCGCGAGCCGCCGGCCGAGGCGCTGAGGTACTTGACAAACCGCAGCACCCCCTCGTCGCGCAGCACGACGCTCAGCGTGTTGAAGCTCGGCGTCAGGTTGAGCAGCACGCCGTCAAAGTCCGAGTCGTCGTCGCCGTCGTCCTCGACCATCTCGACCATCTCCTCCTCCTCTTCTCCCTCTCCCTCGCCATCGCCCTCGCCCTCTGGCTTCATCTCCTCGTCGCCTTGGCCCGCCTCGTCCGCCTCGGCCTTCTTCTTGCCGCTGTGCCCACTCTGGTACACGGCCGGGTCCTCCTCGCCCTCGTGCGGCGCCATGTAGCACTCCCAGCCGCCAATGTCGCCGCTCATCCACTTGGCCGCGAGGTCCTTGGCATCCTTCTTGCTCAGCAGCTTGGCTCCGCCGCTGTCGCTGCCGCTGCCGCTGCCGCTCGCTGCCGCCCCGTTGCTCGTCTTGGCCCGCTTCGTCTTGCCCGCCAGCCCCTTTGGCCCACCCTTGCGCTCCTCGTCCATCGTCGGCTTGACGACGTCCGGAGTCAGGTTGAGCGTCACATCGAGCACGGCGTCCGGGTCGGAGCGCGCCAGCGTGTAGTCCTGGCCCGGGCGGAAGCGCCTCGCCTCGACCTGCCGCGCCGCCATGGGCACCAGCTGCGAAATGTTGGCCAGGAAGCGGCGGAACGCCTGCGAAGGGATTAGCACCTCGCTCAGCAGCCGCAGCAGCTCGCTCGCCTCGGTCGGCAACGGATCCGGAATCTTGGCCGAGGAGGCGGCGGCGTCAACCTTGGACGCCGCCGACGCGGGCGTGACCGGATTCGAGAGGAACGTGTAGCGCTGACGGTGCGGCGGGCCGGCAATCGACCACTGCTTCGACTCGTCGCTTCCGGCCTCGTCGCGGTCCGTGCCGACGGCGTGGGGCTGGATCTGGACCGCATCGCGGCCTTGGCCTTTTTCCCACCAGGCGAAGCCGTCGCGGCTGTCGGCGCGCCGGAGCGCCCGCTCGAGGGCGTCGGCGAGGTCCTTTTTGAGGATGTCGGAGAGGAGGACGTGCGAGTCGTCGCCAAAGTTCTCAAACAGCTCGGCCTGTGTGCTCTCGACGAGGTAGGCCGGGTTGATGAACTGGACGAGGAAGCGCTTGTCGTCCTGGCTCAGCGGGTTGCCCGGCATCGGCGGCTCGAGCGACTCCGGATAGGGGACAAACTGCTTGGCGTTCTCCTTTGCCGAGAGGCTCTCGAGGCTGCTCATCTCGCGCTCGACCTCGGCCTCGTTGCGCTCGTCGTCGGCGGTGAAGCCCTGCTCGCCCTCCTGGGGGCGGTGGAACCAGCCCGAGATGCTGAGGCGGGACTGGGTGGGGCTGACGACCTCCTCGACCGAGTGGAACGAGTGGCCGGGCTGGACGGTGAAGAAGGTGTACTGGTTCCACTTGGGAGGGATGACCTTGCTGGGGAGGTCGTCGGGGGTGCCCTTGCTCCTGACCGGGTAGAGCTCGAGGGCGCCGCCCCACTGGGGCTGCCAGGGCTGGTCCGGGTCGGGGAGGTAGAGGATGTAGGAGACGCGGCGGGTCGAGATGACGTCGTCGTGGTTGAGGAGGTGGCAGCCGTCGCGGTAGTCGTTGATCGACATGTCCTTTTTCTTTGCGCTGAGGGGCCCGCAGCCGGTGACGGCCATGAGCCACTGGCGGAACTCGTCCGAGTAGATTGCGTTGCGGACGCGGAGGAGCGACGTGAGGCGCTTGGCCTCCTCTTCGGGCAGGCCGTCGAGGTTGGCGAGGTCGCCGGTCTGGTTGACCTTGTAGATGTCGGTCTCCTTTTCTGCGAAGCGGAGCTCCGAGATAATCTCCTGGCGGGCTGCGCGGAGGAGGTCGTCGTTGATGAGCTCGGGGACGACGGCGTGCTTGTAGGGCCCGCTGTTCTGGTAGTGCTGGCTGTACTTTGCCGACGTGGCCTCGTCGAGCAGGCCGGGCGCAAAGGCCGCCTGTACGTCGGTGGCCGTCATTGCGAGCGTGTATGTGGAGGTAAGGATGAGGACGGCAGTGGTCAAGAGGTGAGAGGTTGAGGGTGATGGGCGATGGGCGACCGTGGTGGTGGTGGGCAAAGAGGAAGACGACTTGGTCGATCCAGCCCTGCCCTGCCCTGCCCTGCCCTGCCTGGCTGCCTGCCTGCCAAGTGGAGCAAGCCGCCGCCGCCGCCGTCGCCTGCGTTTCTTCTCAACGTCGACTTTCGGCGAGCGAGGCAGAGGGCCTCCGTTGTTCGGGCAACTGGCGGGGATGAAAAGCACAAGTCGAAAATCCGAAATCAAAAAATAAAAAAGGTGAGCGAGCGAAAAAACCCGGGCGAGCGACAAGGTTGAAGCGACCTTGCCAGCGCCCGCCCGCCCGCCCGCCTGCAGCCCGCCCGTCCTGAGCCCGCCATCTGGACCTGGATCTCGACCTTGCCCTCGTCGTCACCCATCTCGCTCTCTAGCTCCTCCTCGCGATTGGGCTGCCTAACGTGCCATCGCCACAGCCCTAGCTCGCCTCTCGCGCTCTCCCCCACCGCGCGCCTGGATGCGCCTGCACAGCACCACCCGCCTCGCCGCCCTCTCCTCGACCTCTGTCCACCCGCTCCTCGGCCTTCTATCTCGAGCTCGAGCTCGAGCTCGAACCTCGACACCCTCACCCTCACCCTCTCGCCGCTCGCTCTCGCCCTTCCGCCCCGGACGATACCTCAGCAGCATGGCGCCCACACCCATCCTCCTCTCGCCCTCGCGCGCAAAGGCGTCGGGCATCACCCTGGCAGAGGACGAGTCGGCGTTTCGCGAAAACAGCGCCACCATCGTCATGCCCTCGGCCGAGGCCGCCTTCCTCAACCCCGTCCAGGAATTTAACCGTGACCTCAGCATCCTTGCCATCCGCACCTGGAGCGAGCGCCTCGACGCCGAAAAGAGGAACCGCTTCCTCCAGTCCCACGCCAAGGCCAAGGCCAGCAACGCCAGGAACGCCAACAAGCGCAAGGCGCATCGCAACGGCAACGGCAGCGGCAGCGGCGGTGGAAACGGCGAGGGTGTGAAGAAGGTCAAGGTCGACGACGGCAGCGCCGAGGCATCCGCTGTCACCATCGCCGGGGAAACGGCGGAGGCCGAGACTAAGGCACCCGAGGCGACACCCGCCACCGCCGGCGGCTCCTCAGACTCGACCCAAGAGCAGCAGCAGCAACAGAGCGGTCCGTCGTCGGGAGCCGCGCCCTCGCCGGCGGAACCGGCGTATAGGCCGTACAAGTTTACGCTGCTCGAGGCGCTGAGCGCCACGGGCCTGCGCAGCATCCGGTACGCAAAGGAGATCCCGCTGCTCAAGACGGTCGTCGCCAACGACCTCTCGCCCACCGCCGTCGAGGCCATGAAGCGCAACGTCGCCCTCAATTTCCCGCCGGACCGGCCCGTAGACGAGTGGATCGCCTCCGAGGCCAAGCAGAGCGAGGGCGCGGGCGCGGATACGGCGGCGGCGGCGGCAGTGTCGGCGGCAGGGCAAGGGTCCGCCGCGGAGCTCGACGAGGATGCGCTCATGGAGCTCGAGAATCGCGCCAAGGCGAAGCCGGCGGCCGAGGACGCGATCCAGGCTTCGACGGCGGCGACGAGCACCGACGCCGAGGCAGCAGGCAGCACCGCCGAGGCTGCGACGACGGCGACGACGACGACGACGAAGAACGCCATCCACCCCGACTGCAAGGTCAAGCTCAACGCGGGCGATGCCATCACGCTCATGTACATGCACCGCGAGCCGTCGAAGCGCTTCGACGTCGTCGACCTCGACCCCTACGGCTCCGCCTCGCCCTTCCTCGACGGCGGCGTCCAGTCGGTGACCGACGGCGGCCTGCTCTGCGTCACCTGCACCGACCTCGCCGTGCTGGCGGGCCACAACTACCCGGAAAAGTGCTTTAGCCAGTACGGCGGCGTCAGCGTGAAGGCCGAGTTCAGCCACGAGGTGGCGCTGCGCCTCGTGCTCCACACCATTGCCACCAGCGCGGCGCGCTACGGCCGCTACATCCAGCCGCTCCTCAGCCTCTCGATCGACTTCTACATGCGCACCTTTGTCCGCGTCTGGACGGGCCCGGTCGAGGTCAAGAAGAATGCCAGCAAGACGGGCACCGTCTACGTGTGCGGCCAGTGCCAGAACTGGGACGTGCAGCGGCTGGGCCGCGCGACGCGCACCGAAAACGTCGGCAAGACGGGCCAGGCCAATGTCAACTGGCGCTACCAGTCGGCCCACGGCCCGCCCGCCGATGGCAGCACCGGCTGCTCCGAGTGCGGCGGGCGCATGCACCTCGGCGGACCCATGTGGATGGGTCCGCTCCACGACCGCGACTTCTGCCAGTCGGCGCTGGCCAACCTCGAGCGCGACCCGTCGGCCTTCAACACGGCCCGGCGCATCCACGGCATGGTCTCGACCGCCTCGTCCGAGCTGCCCGAACACCCCTTCTACTTCACGCCGCCCAAGGTGTCGGGCCTCTTCCACTGCGTCTCGCCGCCGCTCGACAAGGTCGTCTCGGCGCTCGTCTCGGCGGGACACGACGTGTCGCGCTCCCACGCCTCGGCGGGCTCGATCAAGACGAGCGCCACGCGCGCCCAGGTCTACGACGTCATCCGCGCCTGGATCAAGTCCAACCCGGTGCGCATGGACAAGATCAAGGAGTCGGACCCCGCCAACCGCCTCCTCGCAAAGGAGGCCCAGCGCGACTACGACTTTGACGCCACCGACAACGCCCGGGTCAAGGAGGTGTTGGGCGAGAAGATGATGCGGTACCAGGAGAATCCGCAGGCCAATTGGGGGCCCGGCACCGCCGCAAAGGGCCACAAGGGCAAGAAGAAGCGCAACGTCAGGCCCGACGACCTGGCGCAGTGAGGGTCAACAGGGGCCCGCGAAGGCGGGGCCCGATGCGCCGGTCGTGCAACGTCCGCCGCGGCGATCGCCCTGGATGCAATCGCAAACGAGACTGGCAGCGCAGCGCATGCGTCGGTGATGATGTGAGAAAGCGCGCCGTTTGGCGAGGGTGTGTCGAAGTCGAAGGAGCGCGAAAGGTCGCCGCTGAGGTCGCGAGAAGAGCGCGGGATATCTAGAGCCAGGATCAAGAGATAGAGAGAGGGACAGGCAGAAACGCAGACACAGACACCCCGAGAGCGACAGTCTCGAAGTGCCGAGTCCGAGAACGAAGGAAGACGAGCGACGAAGTGAGGGGTAAAGAGCCCGAAGCAGATGTTGGGTGGATAGAGAGCGGGGGCAGATTAAGCAAAGTAGGGCAGCGAGCGGAAAGTTCCTAGAGCGGAGCGAGGCGGATGGAGAGAGACGTCGCCGCCATCGTGTGAGCGGGTCCAGCGTGTGCTCCCGCGCCATCATCGTCGCCGACGCGGCTAGTCGGCCCGGTAGGTGGCCGCCGGCGGGCGATCCTTGTGATTGTGGCTCGGACGCGTCGGTCCGCCGGTTGAGCTCTCGCCATCGGTGTTGTCGGGCTCGGCGTTGGCGAGGCGCAGACGCCGCGGGCGCTCCTCGCCGACCTCCTCGAGGTCCTCGCCGGCATCGACATAGGCCGGCGGCGATGCGACAAGGCCCTGCTCGTTGGACGGGCTGCCCTGGTTGGACGACAGCCGGCGGTTCGAGCGGCGCGGCGAGGTCGTCGTGTTCGTGGCCGCAGGCGTCAGCGCCGAAGGGTGCGTCTGCGGGGTGGCAGCATAGCTGCCGCTGGCGAGGGCGGCGGCGGCGGCCGTTCACGCGCACGCGCACTCGCGCACCTCCGGCCGGGTC